CGACGGCGCTTGGCTCGGTCCTGCCTGACTCTGTCCCATTTATCTGGGGCCTCGCGGCTCCTAGGCCGCTTCCCTGCGGGCATCGAGCACAGGAGAACCTGGTCCTCACCTGCTGCCCCCGCTCCCAGGGGCTCCGAGTGCCCGGCCGGGCCGCAGGACGTGTTCACACCTGGGGCCTCCCGCAACTCTGAAACCAGAGAGGAAGCGCTGGGCACCTCCCAGGCTCCACACCTCCTGCCGGAAGGGGAGGCCAGGCAGTGGCAGAGCTCAGCCGGAATCGGAATCGAAATCCCGCGGTGGCACCGACAACATCACAGCCGGGCCGCCGGGCCCGGGCAGGCAGAGCCAGCCAAACCCAGGCCCTCCACCCAGCCCCATGCCGGCCCACAGACAGCGCGACTCGATGACAGATCCGGCCACCTCCAGGACCCTCATCCCCACCCCCTGCCTCTGGGTTTAATTTTGCTGCCCCAAATAGCGTTTTTGCATTTAAGACTTCTGCTGCTCTAAAGGAATTCAGTTCTCCTTGTCTGGCTGCCCAGGGACCAAAGACAAGGCCTCAAACTTGTTCTCTGGCTCTGGGTACCCCACCACATCTAGGTTCTCCCAACTCTCTGGCATTCTGTGTCTCTCCTGTTGTCCTTCCAATCCTGGCCCTTTTAGCCTCCTGTCTGTCCCTGATCACACTGCTGGGCTCTCCGCTGCCCCTGCTGGGGGCCTGTTCTTTGTCCTCAGGACCTGGCTTGGACTCGTCCATAGCTTCCAGTTTGGCTGCTCTCACTCTCTCACCCTCTATGGCTCCCTATGGCCCATGCATTGAAGTTCAAACTCCTCTGCTTGTGGCTCGAGGCCCCACACCCCAGTCATGTGGACACTGTGACATCCCTGAACCACCACTGCCTGCTGTTAACCCCCCAGACACACAAGTCTCAGTGGCCGCAGGCTCATGAATGAACTGATGAAGTGGGAAGAAGAGACGTATCTGTAGAGATGCTTCCCAGCCCTGGAGCTCCTGAAGAGTGAACCTCAAATCCTGAGGGGTGAACCTCAAATCCACGCCAGCCAGAGAGACATGGTGAGCAGTCGCTGAATGAACAAGTGTGAAAATCTGTGTCTGGTTTTCAAACTGTGCCTTTGCTCAGCCTGAGGACTCCTGCAATGGCCCCATGAGGGGCTCTGTCCCTGGCCCTCACCCTGGTTGAGGGGCAGGCATTCTCGGGCAGCGGGCTCACCTCGGTCAATCCTCTGCAGCAGGGCCCCGCGGACCACGTCCTCCAGGATGCCCGCGGTGCTCAGAGCCTTGCTGCCTGTGCCAAGGTCGCCCTCCTGGGGCTCGGGCAGCTCCTGGAACACACAGGGAGTGGGAGGGGGACAGGCTCGACCTGGGCTGCCCTGGGTGTGGCTTCAGCTGTGCCAACCCTGACTGGCTGGGGTGAGCCCTACTCCCTAGCACTGCAAGCAGAACACCGGAGGAACCAGAGGCGAGGGCTGCATCCCCCACAGCTCCTGTGAGGGAAACCTCACCCCACACGTGGGACCCTGAAGAGGTGATCCCATGAGCCACCCAGCTCTTGGGAGGCTGAGGCAAGAGGATCTCTGCAAGTCAAATGCTGGCCTGGGCTACAGAGAGACCTGGTGTCAAAAAAAACCAACCAAACAAAAAACAGATGATTTTGCCCAAAGGGTCCTGCACTCCGGATGGATGTGGGCTGTCAGGATTCCTCCCGCCAGTGTCCCGCCCCGGAATTCCCTCCTGGCCCCTCTCACCTCTTGGCTGCTGGGCTCCAGGCAGCGGAGCACAAAGGGCAGGAGGATTCGAAGTAGCCAGCACCGCACAAACTCGCCCTGCGCCGCCGCACGGTCTGAGGACAGCTTCTGTGGGACACGGCGCTGTCCAGCGACTGCATCCCCAGGACCCTGAGCGCCCACCCCCGCCTCACCTTCAACACGAGCTCCTGGACTTTCTCCAGCTGCTGGGCTGCCTGGCTGCGGTCCAGGCTGGCAGTCAGGCCCTGGTCGGCCAGCTGCAGGAAGGTGG